TGACTTATTTTTTAGCTTCGGCCTCTGACCGTCTTAGGGGTAACAGTGCAAAAACATTCAGCAAATGCATGGAAGCATGCAGGCTTCCGTAGAAGTAAGTTTGCAATTAGCGTCTGCCCCCGAGGAATTGCAATACTGCCCGCTGCCTTCAAAGCAGCATCCACAGGCGAACCGCTTCTCGCAGGGCTCCTGGCAAGCAACGCTGTCGGCACCGTGTGCGTTGGCTGGGCTGCAAGAGGAGAGTGGGAATTTCAAGATGATTTTGCAGGCCGGGGAGACTATGAAACAGGCTTTTGCAGTCCTGACATCTGGGTAGCTGGGAGTCAGGTTCAGGCATTTAGGTAATAAATCATTAAATGTACTCTATTAAAGCAATCGGGGGAAAAAATCAGCTCTCATTAAGTGTTATATCACACAATTTGAAAGCGATGTCCAGCTGAGGATCTTGGTTTGTGTATCCACAGGCTGTCCCTTCAGGACATTGCAGCGATAGATTTCTGTATAAAATTGAATGCAAAGAAGCGATAGGTTAAAGATACTGTTGTGGTTGGGAACTCGAGCCGAGTAGAGTTGATATTTTATTTTTAGAAGAGATGCCATCAGATGTATATCTACCGTCGCGCAGAAAAGAGATTTTCGGTGCGGTTGCAATAAAATTAATGAAGGAAAATTATATGTTTTAAAATGTTACTGACACTGGAAAAAACTGTGCACAGCAAAAAGAAGTGTTTGTATAAAGACTTTCTTCCTAAAATTATACAAATGTATGCAAGTTAGCTTGTTGGGTTTTTCCCCTCTCTTAACATGGTAAACATGAGTAATAACCTCAAAAGCTGTAAGGGGAACAAGCAATTTCTGCTTGAAATAGCAGTACAATGGGCAACGAGTCAGAAATCAAAGAAAATCTGTGATGATTATGGTAATGTGTTACATATGCTGTGAGATTCATGAGGGCCAGCAAGCCAGCGTAAACGCTTGGTCACCTACTGGTGGAGGACACGGAATTAGTACTTGCACAACCTGTCGATTTATTGGAATAAAATGGAGGCAGCTTTAAGCATTCTTCCTCTTCCCTTCCAGGTGGGCTAATCATCAGCAGAGCAGCCAATCTTGTATTTATTTTACATGGGAGTAGAATAGCACGTAGCCGTCTGATCCTTCTGAAACGGCACGTGGGGGTGGTTAGCTGCTCCCTTTGCCAGGGTCCGGCCTTGCTGCACCCTGCGTTTGGAGCTCGCGCCGAATTGCGGCCGAAGGGAAGTTCTTTCATTGCTTTCATCTTTTCTTTCGGGACCCACCAAAATCCGCGGATGCTGAACAGGGAGGGAAATGCTACGTGCATCTTTCCTGTCTAACCCGGCGCTGGAATTTCTGTTTCCTTTCAGGTTTGACTTTGAAAGTTTGGAGAACAATGTGGAAAACTCGATGGACAAGTCCAAACCTTGGAGCCGATCCATCGAGGACCTGCACAGAGGCAGTAATTTACCCTCACCGGTTGGCAACAGCATTTCCCGCTCTGGCAGACACTCGACTTTACGGTAAGGAGTTAAATCAGGCAGTGGGTGACCTGCAAACCGTGAGTGCCCCAGTGAGAGGAGTCAGTATGATTTTCCAGTTAGAATATTTTTCATCTTCCCTCTTTCCACAGTACGGGCGTGACATATATAGGGAACGTGTCATTGCACTGACGGTTTTGAGGTGGAAAGAAGTGCTAAGCTAGTAACACGGGGCAGCATTACACAGCAATCGAGGGGGAGACAAGAATAACTCTGCCTCCCTTTCCAGTGGCAGAAGGATCTAAGGATGCACGATACGTTTCCGTCAGGTACAATGTGGCTTGCACAGAGGAAGCAATTCCTCTTCTCCAAAAAGTGCCTCAAGATTTCCACGGACCCAGCCAGTCTGGGGCTCCGATCTGGTGTCTCGTCCAAGAAGATCTCTTCTAGCAGCACATTCCTTCCATGCTGCTATGAGCAAGAGGGTTTGGGGTTTTTTTAAAGGCCACTTCCATCCTTCAAACCTGCTGTAAATAGTAGCACCACCCCAGGCTTTGCTATGAAGCCTGTCTTTCCAAATACTGGGCTTTTTAGCTTGTGAAAAAGGCAGGGTCACTTCCCAGGACCGGATGGCAGTCAACTCTGTTACGTTCCTTCGATGCTTCGCTATTACAAAACATCCTCACCATCACCTTCAGAGTAGCAGGACTGTTGCCCCGGGGCACAGCTGGGAGCGCTGACTGGCATTTACTCACACGCTTTTTGCCTTTTTTGGGCTTCTGTGGAGTTCCGTTACGTAGTACTGTGAGCATGAAGGGGGCCAAAAAAGATGGAGCCAGCGAGGACTCGCAGCTTTTTCCTACGTCTTCCGGCTGAGGTTCAGTTTTGGTTTGTCAGTCCGTGGTAACGTTGGCTCTTTAGGTGACGTTAAGTGCGTGCCTCGCGCCTGCAGCCTGAGCGGTGGCGGCTGCGGTACCCGGCAGGGGTGGTTCACAGCCCTCGGGCAGTGGAGAGGAGGAGGCAGACACAGTTCTGGTGAAGAGCTACAGGCTGTGGAGTGCAGCAGAATCACTTGGCTGCTTGATTTTTATTTTTTTTTTAAATATTGCAAAAGTGTTCTTTGTGGTTTTGGGTTTCTCTGCTCTTTTAATTACTGTGACAGAGGAGTGGCAGTGTCTTGTGCTTGCGGGAGGATGTCTGATCCTGCTCTCGGTCTTTGGGAGGCATGCTGGTGATTAGTTGCACTAGAAATGTGTGAGTTATACATTACATGTCTCTCACATTTTTTTTTTTTTCTCTTCGTTTCCTTCCATCCTTTTTCCTTTTTCACATTCCCCTTTATTCCTTACCTTTTTTTATTGCCCATTTCAATGTCTCCTTCCTCGCGTCCTTCACTCCCCTCCCTCTTTCAAACGCTCTTCTCCAATTCTCCCTCTCCCACCCTTCCCTCCTCTGCTCTCCTCCGCCTCTCACGTACCATCAGATCGGTTTCTCTGCCTGAGCACCTTCAGTTCAAATGCCACCAGAGCTGCTTTTCAGCCAACTGCCTCTGGAGCGGCTTCGCTTTGCGCTCTGCTGATGAGGCTTCGAGCCGGAACATCTCGTAAGTCCCAGCTGCAAGGTTGCAGCGGCACGGGCTGCGCAGGGCATGGGGGCCGCGGGGCCAGCGCTGCTCCCCATGCCTTATAATCGGGTAGCCATACGTCTTGGTATAGCGACCGCCTGGGCGTCAGGGCGAGTTTGCAGCCTCCAAAACGTGTGGTTATCACATTATAACTTCAAAGCGTGGCTTGCTTCCGTAGAGCGGGGTTTTCTAAAAGAAAATAGAACGTGTTTTACGTGGAAGCAAGATACTAGTTTTCCTTATCATATTGCAGATAGCATCATTAGTTTCATAGCTAAGACATAGGGCTCTTAGTCGCTGTCCGTGTTATTTCATCTGTTTTATTACAAATGGAGACTTCACCCATACCCAGCCTTGGCGCAGAAGTGTAACCTAGTACAGTGTTTTTCAGCCACGTGCCCCCTCCTGCCTGCAAAGCCATCTTTGGACAGGGGCAGCTTGGGCAAAAACTGTCCGACATTTACCTGGAATGAGCATCTTGGGTTTGTGTTTCGTTTAAAAAAAACAAACAAACCTCTGTGTTTTAAAATGTGTACTTTTTCAATAGCTGGGGACTATGTGTAATAAAAAAAGTAAAAGCTGAAAGTAGGTGGGAAGTTTTTAAGACGGGCTTTTTTTTGTATAATTAGTGAATATTGGTTAATTGAAACAGAATCTTTTCCTGAGAAGAAGCTAGGTGCTCGTCAGATGAGGAGGGTGTGCAGGATGGTGTTTCTGGTCAAAACCAGAAGGTTCCTGCCCCGTCGCTGGGTGGACAACATGTCTGGGCCACGCGGAGACCCAGGCTGTGGGTTCTTCTGTGTGGAAGCTCCTCTTCTGTCTTTGGCATAAAAACCATTAAAGTGGAGAGGAAGGAAGAAGCGGTTCTCCCTCTTGGATGGAAAAGGAGAATTCTGACAATCTTAACAGGGTAATTTAAAATTCGGGAGCTGGACTCATCCCTGCTATGCCATAGCAGTATGGAAAATGAAAACAGATTTGGCCTGGCTTCCTTTTTATTAAAACAGCAGGAAGATTTGGGGAGAGAGTGTTTCCTGCCAGCTTTAACACCATTTTTTTTTCCTCATTTTCGGTGCTTGTGTGGCGGTGTGATGGCACCGGCTTTCCTGCCTGTCCTCAGGGTTCAATAGCAGTAAACCCGCTGCGGCCCTCAGGACCCTGCCTGATCCCAGTACACATTTGATCATAGCAAAAGCGATAGGAGATGAGCACAGAGCAACCCTTCCAGCCCTGGCAGGCTTGCAAACGATGCGGCTCCGTCGGAGTGAGCAGTCCCCTTGCAGCCAGCCAGGGCAAGCTCGCGGCGGCGTGGGCTCGCCCGGGGCTGACGTGGGCACGGGGGCTTTCTGCCCCTTCGTTTGCGTGGCTGAGCCTGTCCATTTCTAATTGTGACTCCGGCTTCCCGGAGCTCTTTTTAGTAGTGCTAAACCCTGCCAACTCCCTGCTCACTGGGTTTCCTTGGCAACTGGGGGTTTTGGTTTTTTTTTTTAAGAGGAGGCACAGGGATTTGGGAAGCAAACACCAAAACGAGGGCAGAAGGATAAAAATGGGGATGAACCTTTGGGGATTTTAGTGCTGCTTTTTGAGGGGGGAAAGAGCATTACTTTCACATGAGAGTCATACTTTCCGATCAGGTAAATATTAATGGAGACTTTGTAATGTCCCAGCCCATTAGAAATTCCCTTACTTCCGAGTCAAATACTTTTTCTGTGGATTGAAATGGGAAACATCGTTTCTTTCTTCAAAATCCATGGAGTCAATAATGAGAGAGCGATCCAGGCAAACATATCTTAATCCATAAATGGGCTTTGAATGCATTCAATAATTGGACTCAAATTTGGCACCGCTTCTTAGGCTGCAAGGAATTGGGCTTTGCCATTAACCCTTTTGCTGCTCAGGGACCGGCTGACTTGGTCGTCATCCCTTTTGCCAGATACTTGCTAATTTTACAGAGTGAATTTTTAAGCAGTCACTTGTCGGTCTTGGGATTCTTCTGGTTCCTCTACCTGCAGACCATGATTTTTACAGACCCCGGACAGGAGCTGAGCACCGCCTGTGCGTGCATTTACAACAGTGGTCGGGCGCTGGCTGTGTAGCTGGGAGGAGGGAGGGAGACCAAAACTGGCTGTTCTGATTTCTTTCCTCGCTTTTCTTAAGCGGCAAATATCTCCTCAGCTTTATGGATTAATAATTTTCCCAGGTTCTTTCAGATGAAGACAAAACCAGCGGGCTCAAAGTCATTTATTTTCTTTACATTTGTAGCACAAAGCAGCTTTGCCGCCCGTGTCTGAAGTGGCAGGAAGGAGACACTTTGGGCAGCACAGTTACCTGCCCTGGCTCACCCAGGACAGAGACAGATATTTATTATTTATGCCCTTGCATGAGCGGAGGAGCTGATTGCAGCTGTTAGTGCTTGGGGGGGCCACCACTGAGCACGGGCTCGCGGTCTTTCCCTCTCCAGGCCTCCTCCCTTGCAGAGGGGTGCAAGTTCAGGGTCCCCACCTCAAGCAGACCTTGCTCTAAGAGGAGAACAGTGAAGCCCAAAGTTAGTAGGAAGCGCCGAGACCTACCTCTCTGCTGTCAGAAGGACATTCACAACACAAACACTACCACCTCCAAACCACCACCACCAAAACTGCAGAAATGCAATCCCAAACCCACCAAACTCCCATGAAAACCAAGAGTCCCAGCCCACGTGGCGCTGGGCGAGCTGCCACGGGGGTGGTGAGGTCCACCCTGGGCTGTCCTCTCCTCTCCGCGTTCCTACTCTGGAGGAGCAGGGTGGACAAATGAGGGCATGATGCTTTAGCAGGTAATAAGATAAAAATGGTAGGAGAAACCGGCTGTAACTTGTATTCGTCATTAACATGTCCTCTTTTTAAGCATGGAAGCCCTCCCACTGCAGTTGGTGGAGACGGCAGGAGTTTGTACTGAGATCTGTGCTCACTCACCATAGCAGAAAGGGCTTTTATTTGCTTTGAGCATCCCAGTTGGTTCCGTAGGTGTTTTAATTATCCATCTGTGGGTCGTGAGTGAGCCAGTGAGCTGTTTGGCGCCAGAAGATGCCCTTGTGTCTTGTCTTTTCTAGGTCTTGGTTGTACAAAGTGCTGGATGGGTCCGGCCACGCTGGACATTTTCAGCAGTTCTGGCTGATCATGCCAACAAAGTGACGTGGACGTGGAGGCAGGATTAGTTTTTCAGAATTAATTTCTTCAGGCTGGCTGGGCTGAATGGTCCATCTCACCTTTCTCTAGCAGGCTGGTGGGTAAAAGCGCAGCCTGGTCTCCAGAGACGTGGTGGCAGGGCCTTTACAAGCACCGAATTAACCAAATTGTGGACAAATGGCATAAAAATCCTGAATGAGTTATTCTTGAACAGAACTGTTAGATCTGGGCGAGAAAAGGAACCTTAACCCCTA